TCTTTTTCTTTGTCCATACGCCCATCTAGAGAGAAGATGCTTCCCAAATATTTAAATTCCTCTACTTGTTGGAGTTGTGTTCCGTCAACAAGCTGTCCCCGTAGGATTATGCGATTGTGCGGGCGCGTTTTTTTCGCGTAATTCTGCAACACTTGCATAATTTTGGATTATCCGTGTTTTTTCACTTTTTTTTTTCAAAACAATTAATTAACGTCTCACCATGGGACTAAAGGGACGTAATCACCGTAATAAGTCTCATTTAAGTGAAAAGTTGGTTATTTCCCTTGTTAGAAACCTTAGTTATGTGTTGTGATTTTGTTCCTTGAGCATGTTCATTTTTTCAATCCATCAAAAGTGGTTGTGTTCCCATGTCTGCTGATGTTTCATGTTTGACAGGTGTCCCTGATTTTAGTAATGTGCCAGCATCAGAGGTCCAGATGTCCTTTTCAAAATTAAAAAAAAAAAATGTTCTTGCCTCTATGGATCAAGATCTAAAGCTGAAAGTTACAGAGATTATTATCTTTTGACTGATGTGTATTGTTTTCTTTTCCAAATACACAACAAATTACTAATACTGATATGTTCTGTTTTCAATTTTTCTGTACATAAAACATGAAAATCATGAAACTTTGTGTTGAAAAAGTGCAAAACATGTCGCAAATGGTGTTACGCTAACTTGCATAATTTTTGCATAATTTTGCTTTTTTTGTGCATAATTTGGCCTTCTAAATTTGCATAATTCTACGGGGACAGAACAAGGATGTTGAGTTTCCCTGGGTTTTTTCTTGCCTTCATAACTTCTGTTTTTAAAATGAAGATTTTCATGTTTAGGTGTTTACATTCGTCATTAATTAATTTTGTGGTGTGTTTTATGTGATTCCTCTTCGTCTGTATTTAATGTACTCTGGTCATCAACAAATACTAGCTCGCTCAGTTCACTGATGTTGTCATTTGCTGCTTTCGTGATCTTATCCAGGTAAGTGATGAGCGGAGAGAGGACACACCCTTGTCTCACCCCAGACGTGATGGGGAAACAGTCCAATAGTCCTTCTGTTGACCTTTCGGCACACACGGCTGTTTTTATAAAGTGCCATGTTTTTGAGCAATTGTCCTTTAGCACCATATTACTCTAAGACTACCCCCCGGGGCGATGCCACTGACTGAAGTGTCTTTATGCCGTTCCAAAACAGGGGACGTTCTAATGCACAGTAGAATTGTAAATGGGCTGATCGAACAATGGCATGCTCATAACTATGCCTGAACTACAACAGGGAACTGCGCCTTTTTCTTTCCTAGTCCTTACTATCGTCATTTTCCTCTACTTCTTTTGTATGTTGTTTCCGGGGTGCCTTGATTGTCGAAGCAGACCTTGTGCCGTAGAAGCTAGAAAGGTGAGCAGAGTAAGTTTGATTCCCTGTTGTTAGGACTTCTCTGTTGACATCCACCCCTTGGCGCTCATATGACCTTATGCGGGTGCCGTAAAACCGCTACTAAAAAAACCTCTAAGACTTCCCAAAGTTGACATCTATTTACCCTGTCGAACGCCTTTTCTTGGTGCACGAAGACGATATTGAGGTCTTGTCATGTCCAATGGCAGTCTCACACAACTGTCCGAATGCAAAAAAAAACCGTCGGTACAGCCCTTGCCTTTTCTAAAGCCAAACTGGGATTCACTGAGTTGAGTCTCTACAATTGGTCTCATCCTCATTTCCAGTATCTTGGCAAACGTTAAATCCACATGGCTGAGAAGGGATATTCCTCTGTAGGCTCTGTGTTGTTTTTGTCGCCCAGACCAGGTTAAGTATCCTCCATAACCAGAGTTCTCCGATATGGCCGTATAGTTTGATCTCTTCTGCTGTGATGTTTTCAACGCCTATCGCTTTGTTTGTCGTGGGGCTATTCTTTATAACGTGTTGGGTTTCACTCTGCAGTAGTGATGGTTCTGGAGTGGTTTCTTTCGGTGAGAAGCTGTTAGCTGCTGTTTCTGCTGTAGGATTCAGCAGCTCCTGGAAATAGCGTTTATATCTTTCCTTAATCTTTGGCTTTCTGAAAATAGGGTTTTCCGTGCTCATCATTGACTATTTCAGTTTGGTTGAATGGTTCTTCCCGCATCCTCGTACTTTTTTAAATCTCTAGTAAAACGCTCACGGGTCTTCTTTACATTTTGTTTCCAGCCGTTCTCCATATACTGACCAGGATCTGTTCTTAGCTTCTTTTACTACCCTTGATGTATAGCGGCGGTCCTTTTTGTATAGGATGTAATTCTACTCCGTCTTTGATTTCTACCACTTTTTGAATGCCTTTTTCTTCAGTTGGACGGCGTCCTTCACTTGGTCATTCCACCATATAGTTGTTTTCTTTTTCTGCCCTCTTGTTTTCCTGTTGCCGAACTCTTCTTTTAATGCTCTGTACACACGTGCTTTGAAGTGGCTCCATTCCTCTTCCATGTCTCTCAATTTTGGGGGACATTTGTGAAATACGTTTTTCAAACGTTCATGTTGTATCTTATCCTTGTTATTGTCATTTATATTTCTGAGATTTACGACTTCTCGTCGTTTCTTTGCTTCTGGCCTTTTCCTATTTGGTGTGTCAATAGTCATGATGACTGGTCTGTGGTCAGTGTCTGTGATGTAGATGGGAATCACTCTTGAGTCTCTGATTTTTCTCAGTTTCGATCTTTTGTCTAGGATAAAATCAATTTGTGATGCTATCTTTAGATCATTGCATCTGTACCAATTTTTAACTTGACTCCATTTGAGTTGGAAGAAGGTATTTGATATGACGAGCTCATGTTCTGCACACAATTGTAATTGCATTTCTCCATTGCAGTTTTGATCTGTTTCCCTGTCACTGTGTGGCCGCATGTATCTCTCCCACGTCGTCTTCCTTGTTTTCACTCTGCCGTTTAAGTCCCCCATCATTGTCTCATTATCTTTGTCATCCACGGTGTTTAAAAGTAAAATGTCACCCAGTTGATCATAGAACTGGTGTCACTGTTCTTCGGGATATAATATGAGTCATTGCATGGTTATATATATATATATATATATATATATATATATATATATATATATATATATATATATATATATATATATATATATATATATATATATATCTGTATTTGATGACCCTCAGTAATTGTCATTATATTCTATGGTGATGTCCCGCTATATACCATACTCGTTGAATTTTTTAAATATTCTTCAAGTCCGTGTTATGCTTGGGTTAACGGCACTTGCAACACAAATAGGTCAAATAAGCCCCGAAGATTAGAGGTGTTACAAGAGAG